TTTAGATGATTTTCACCAGTAGCTATCTTGGAATGCCCTAGAGACCCACGAGAGTCCACATGGTCCCTGGCTGAGAAATACTGCTCTAGGTTGTTGTGTAAGTCTGACATAGTTTAGAAATAGCCAGGGGACTGGGGTGTGGTTTGGTAGTAGAGTGCTTGCCTTGCATTATTTGTGAGGCCTATGGTTCCATTCTCTGCCCCATATGCAGAGTGCAACTCCTAGCAAAAAGAAATAGAGAAACTATTTTTCAGAGCAGTGCACAATTTTATATTGATGCTTGCAATGTCCAAGTAACATGGTTTCCCTGTCTTCTCCCCATTTAGGGTGCTCCCCCTCTTTCGTTTTTGGGCCGCAACCAGCAATGCTCAGGACTTTCTTCTGACTCTCTGCTCAGGGACCACTCAGGAATCATATGAAGTGCTAAGGATAAAACTTGGGTTGGTTGCATTCAAGGAAAGTATCCTACGTATCTCTCTCTCGCCCCTAACTCTTCATCTATGCTCTGATAGGTATGTAGCAATATCACATTACAGTTTTAATTTATATTTCTCTAGTAGTCAATGATGTTGAACATCTTTTTATGTGCTTATTTGCCAACTATAAATATAGATGTACACATATATGTACATATATATATTAGCGAAATATCTCTTCATGTCTCTTACCTAGTTTGTAACTGGATTGTTTGAAATTGCTTTTACTGTTAAATGTTGAGAGTTCTTCACATGTTGAGAGTTCTTTATATATTCTAGATAATATCATCTGTTAAATAATTCTTTGAAAACAGTCACCCCTGGATAAAATTTTCTTTTTATTCTCTTAATAGCACAGCGGGAGGGCATTTGCCTTGCACGCAACCAACATGGCCGACACGAGTTCGATTCCTCCGCCCTTCTCGGAGAGCCCGGCAAGCTACCGAGAGTATCTCGCCCGCACGGCAGAGCCTGGCAAGCTCCCCGTGACGTATTCGATATGCCAGACACAGTAACAACAAAATCTCCAATGGAGACGTTACTGGGCCCGCTCGAGCAAAAATTCTCTTAACAAGATCTTTCAGGACTAAATGAGCTCATTTTTTAATGAAGTATTAATTTTCTTTTCCTTTCATCTACATATCAATCATTATTAGATATGTGCAATTGATCAACATAATGTTCCAGGCAGCCAAAGGAACCAAGATGGGACAGACTTCCAATTTCAAGACCATTCTGGTCTAGTTAGGGAGACTGGAGCTATACCCAAATAACAAGAATTATGTACCAAGTGTCAAAGAGAGATCGAGAGATTTTAAAAATCAGATATTATGCTATGGTTGAAAGGAAAGAAAGGGATAAAGGTCTCACTACTTCTATCTCAATGACATAGAAATTTCTTTATATATATATACACACATATATATTTCATTTCCCAAGGTTGAAAGTGGTAATTTCAAGATAGCTAACATACATTAAATTTCATGTACGTTTTTCATGCAAAACAATACCACATAATAGCCTTTCAGAGAAGAGGAGATTATATCATATTTAATACTTAGGGACTCTAGGATTCAGGGAAGTTAAGTAACTTTCCAAGGGTCACACAGCCAGAAAATGGTAAGGTCAGACAGGCACAGAGTCTTGTGATAAATACTCTACTAATACTAACCAGAAGCCCCTAGAGACACACCCTTTGCCTGCCAGTATACATTCATCATTCTTCTAAGTAAGAAATGGACTAACTGATTCACATTTTAAAAGAAGACATGATACATTTTCTGGAGAGTACAAGGAAGAGTCAGTGAGTTCTTTGTGATAAAAGAATCCATTAAAACCATTATAGTGGCCAGGATCATGCAGAAAATGAAAAAAAAAACAAGCACTTCCTGTGAATCATGAGGACCAAAAGAAGGGATGAACATTGCTGGAATTCAGCATTTGGATACAGCTCTCCGGATGGAACAATCAGAAGGAGCATTTTAGGTCCTCTTCCTGCAGGCGCATTACTAACCAAATCATCTTCAAATGCCAAGGCTTTCATGGAGAACCCTAAAAACATCACTCTTGACTCCAGTGAAAAGCCAAAGCAGTGCCTGTGTCTAAAGGACAAATAGGGAATCTGGGCTTCCTTTTCAAGGAAGACTCATTGACTCTTCCTTGTACTCTCCAGAAAATGTATCATGTCTTCTTTTAAAACATGAATCAGTTAGTCCATTTCTTACTTAGAAGATTGATGGATGTATACTGGCAGGCAAAGGGTGTGTCTCTAGGGGCTTCTGGTTAGAATTAATAGAGTATTTATCACAAGACTCTGTGCCTGTCTGACCTTACCATTTTCTGGCTCTGTGACCCTTGGAAAGTTCTGGATTTTCATCCTTGTTTATTCTTCTCTTATTTACGAAGTTGACCAAATCATCTAACTCTTTCGTAGGTACCTGCCTTTCTTTGAAACTGTTGATAACTTTTGGAAGATTTTACGACTGTGATTCTGAAAGTCTCCCAAAGTGGCAAATTTATTTATTAAGCTAATCTTGTGAACACTGCACCTTGCCAAATAGTCTTCTAACCTAGCCCCCGTTCTTGGCATGAGGCAACACTGCTGGATCATATATGAAGAGTAGACCTCTCACATTCTAACCTTTTCCACATTGGCCTGGGATTGTGCTGTAAAGGTTTTCAACAAGTCTGGCCTTAACAGTACACGGCCTATGTAGGAAGGCATTCACAAGCTTCTTATAAATATTTGGCCAGGTTTATTTGGACCACTGTATTCATCTCACTGTCATTGTTCACCCAAAATGAGAATAACCCAAGTCTGGCATCAGGATACCCAAGTCCCAGACAGTTCTCTGTTTCAAGGGTGGGCTCTTGAGTGAAGCAGAACAAACAAGTTTTCCTGATGGCTGAATATGCTCTGTGAGAGAGAAGACTCTTTGCAGGTGCTGACCACAGAGAATAACAATCCTGGAGACGCCAAATGCCACCAGGAGCAGTAAACCAGTTTAATAAGAATGTCTGCAGAGATGAGAACAGGAGGAGGAGGGGGAGAGAAGGAATCTGTGTGTGTTACTTTTACTTTTGACATCAATGGAACCCCTAAGTCCACATGAATCTGGAGTCAGACCTACCATTTTGTTTAACAAAAAGGAAAAAAGGTAAAAATATTAAATTTAATATTTTATGCATACAAGGGTTTCCTCCAGGAGGGTATACAAAACATATATAGTCACCTCTAGAGAGGAATTAAGAGCTAAGAAAGTAGGTGGACAAAAGGGAATGCCCTCCACAGGATGGGGGCTGGGAGGGATACTGGGATCCGTGGTGGTGGGAAATGGGCACTGGTGAAAGGATGGGTATTTGATCACTATATAATTGAAACCCAAGCACAAAAATCTGCAAGTCTACAACTCTACCTCATGATGTCTCACTAATAAAAATTAAAAAAAAAAAAAAGAAAGTAGGTGGAGGGAGTCCTGTTCACTGCATTGTGATTTTTGTAAATATACTTAGTAAATGTTTTTTGGATTTTGTACTTCGTACATGCTAAGGGAGCACAGATAACCAAAACTAAAGTTAAATGCAAATAATACAGAAACAAAATACAAACTTTCTTTACTTTCACCAACGAGCAGATGATTATATCTTATTTATTTATTTATTTATTTTTGCTTTTTGGGTCACACCCAGCGATGCACAGGGGTTAGTCCTAGCTCTTTACTCAGGAGTTACTCCTGGCGGTGCTCAGGGGAGCATATGGGATGCTGGGAATCGAACCCTGGCCGGTCGCGTGCAAAGGAAACGCCCTACCTGCTGTGCTATCGCTCCAGCCCCATTATATCATTTTAAGAGAGAAAACCAGAATCTTGGAAGAAACCCGCTCCTTTACTTTTCCAAGTTATGCTCTTAAAAGTTTTTCAGCCTTGTTGCTGCAGATGATCAGCAAACGCTCAGCAGCCTCCATTTCCTGTACAAATATACACGGAGAGAACCTCGCGCCCCGGTCCATAGAGGGTTCCTCGGATTTTAGGCGTGGAGTTCCAAAATCTACTCTGTTAGGGTGCCCTTCACCCTGCCGCTGAACCTGACAACGTGTCCCCCGGTCCGGGGAACCGTGGCAGGCGTCTCCGGAGATTGCGGGCCCCAAGGACTGCGGACGCGCCCGCAAGCCCAGGCCGGAGCGGAACCCTTGAACTCCCCGCCCTTCCTCAGCACCTTGGGGCTCCCGGCACTAGCCCCGCTGAGTCCCTCGGCTTGCAGCAATCTTGGGGCTTGCTCCGACCGCGCGCGGCTCACTCACCGGGCGGTGCGGCACCGATGGGGGACTTTGGGAGACTTGGGCGCGAACCCAGTCCAAGTGTGTAGGATGAGCGCGCGCCACACCAGCACAGCGCTCTTCGTGCGAGAACTAAAGGGATCGGAATCTGGCTTTGGGTCACCGGGAGTGGGGGTTGTGCAGGGGAGGACGACCTGCGAGTGCAGAAGCGCCACGCAGGCTTTGGCGAGGTGCCTGAGCGAGCGCGCCCACACTGCGCGGAGCGAGGCGGAGTGGGTGGAGGCGCCGGGCCCTTGGATTCAGGGGACCCTCCGCTCCCGGGTTAGGGAAGAGAACAGGCTCCCCGGGGCTCGGAGCCGGGGGACGGGGAGCGCCTTCCTTGAAAGCTGGAAAAGGCCCCAAGTCGCGCCACCGGGGGCTCCGGGGGCCACGGCCCCAGCACTGCACTGCGCCGCCCGGGAGCGCCCGGGGAGGGGCGCGGGTCCCCGCCCCGGGCGCGCGCAGCCACGGCCCCGCCTCTTCCCCGCGCGTGCCACCCGCGCGCCCCGGGAGCTCCCGAACCAGCCGCCCGCAGGTACCCCCCGGCCCGGGCGCAGGCGCGATCGCTCCCGCCCGCCGCCCGGCACGCGCCCCCGCCCCGGGCCCCTGTGATTGGCCGGCGGCCGGGCCAGCAGGTGGAGGCGGCGGCGGCGGCCGGGCGGGCCCTGGTGCCGGCCGCGCGGGCGCCTCCCTCCGAGCCGCTGCAGCCGCCGCCGCGCTCCCGCCCTCCTGCCAGCTCCCGGGCTCCTGCTGCGGCTGCGGCGGCGGTGCCGGCCGAGCCCCCGCGGCGCTGCGGCTCCGGTCCGGCGTGGCCCGCGCCCCGCAGCTTTGCGGCTCGCCGCTTCCTCTTCCCCGCGCGGGCGCGCTGCGGCAGGTGGCCCCAGGCACCCGGTGGCGCGTTGGCCGGAGCCCCGCGGCCATCGATGACCCCGCTCAGGGAACCTGCTCCAGCCCGGCCACCCCGAGTGAGTGCCGTCCCCTCCCCGCGGGCCGTTTTGCGCCACCCGCCTCCTAAGGTTGCCGCAACTTCGGGACTGGGTGGGTCGCCGCGGTGCCGGGTACCCGGTGCGAGTCCTGAGTCAGGGCACCCCCCGGACTGTCTCGCAGAGGGGGCGTGGGGAGGATCAAGGAGGTGCGGGTGTGACTTGGGGGGGGCGGGCTTTGAACTTGCCAGGGGCTCGTCTCTCGGGAGTCGCAGCCGCCCCCTTGCTCCGGCAGCCGGGCCGAAGCTCGCCCCTGCGTTTCCCTCGGGTTTTCCGCTTCCCACTGGCCACGTAGCGCTTGGACTGCGGTTCACCGCGCACCCACTAGGCATCGGGGCGCACGGCCCGGGCGCCTGGAACCCGCGGGTTCGCGCGCCGCAGCCCCGCGCCGCTTCCTCCGCTCTTTCGGATCCTTCTTTTCTGTAAAATGGGGCTAAGCAGGTACTCGTTCAAGGTCACGCCGTTGCACCGAGTAGGAATCCCAGAGAATCGCAACCCGGCGAGGTCGCGGACTATCCGGGGAGTGGCGCGCTCTTGGGGGTGGGGTGGTGAGATGGGCAACTTGAGCTTCATCCTGGTCTTCTTTTATGCCCTCCTTCTCCTGCCCCAACCCCCCCACCTCCACCCCAGTTGGAATAGTGTCGGGAGTGAATCCCAAGGGAAACAAGGTTTAGGGGGGCAAATCGTGGGAGACTTTCGGGGTGAGCCCAGCGGCGGAAGTCTTGGGAAGAATCGCCTCCGTTCCTGGTCATCTAATGTTTTGGACGTTCCTGCTGGGTCAGGGGATTTGCTAGGTGCCTGCTCATAGATCGACTCTTCTTGGTTTCCTTCTGCTGGGTAAGCCTTACCTAACCCCAAGGGAAAGAATCCTGGAGACTCAAACTGCGCACACCTAACTGTGCTCTGGGGCTGCTTTCCTTTTGAGCGCTCATCCAGGAGACCGGAAAAAATGCTCTGAGCCTGGTTTCATGCCTGCCGGCCCGCCTCCCTCGCCCTCCATCTGGGCTTGTTCCTCTTTCCCAGGGGGAGGGTGGAGTCCAGTCCCAGAGTGAGTAAATCCGGAGTCCTTTAACTCAGATCATTGTTACCGTCCCTGTAGTTCTGAACTTTGGGCTTGACATTATCTCCCTGTTCCTCCAAGTCAACCTCCCCTTCCTAAAACAGGGACCATCTGAGATGTTCTCCTTACGCTAAGATCTGAGACATCCCTTACGCTAGTTTTGTGATGTCTGGCAAGCATCTTTGCGTCTCAACGTATTTTTTTTTTCCCAGTAGAATGCAATAATCCCTCCTTTAGTCTTTTCAAGGCAGTTGGGTTAAGAGAACATGTTGGATGGGGAAGTATAAGGAAGATGACCCAGGAGGGTCTGAACCAGTGGCTGGAAAAGGAGGTGATTTCAGGAATTGTTACAGTAGTGCTTGAAATGCTCTTCTCTAATCTTAAAAAAAATCCATCTTGTAGATGAATTTAATTTGCTAAGCCTTTGAACATACTCCTTCGCATCTTCCTGCAGCCTGGTTGTGAGTACCTGCGACCCTCCTAGTTACCTCCCTCTCCCCAACTAATCCCTAACCCTGATGTATCCATACTGGCTGGAGGCTGGTCGTCTTTATGGGACTCTATGCACCTCCCTGTGGTCCAGGGGGTTGTGTCTGGAGGTGGGGGCCAGCGGTGCACTTATTTTATTTATTTATATATTTATTTTTTTTGTCTATAGTCAAATGAAAGACAGATGACTAGGTCAGAGCTGGGTGGATCTGTTTTAAAATTATACTGGAGTATAACAATCACAGAAAAATGCACAGGTCTTAAATGTACATTCAGTGGTTTTTTTTTTTTCACAAAGCAAGCATGTCTAACCAGTGCCCAACTTCATATTCCCTATCTCCCCCATTACCCTCATGAGCAGAATTCCCCAAGGTAACATCATCCTGCTTAGCTCTGTCATGCAAATTTTGTTTTTATTCTAATATATCATTTTAGCTTCAAAGCTGAAATGAAACTGCTTGATGATTTTCTACTTTTTTTTAAATGAATACAAACTAGAGGTATTTGGTTTTAGACCTAATTTATAGTTTTACTCATCCTTAAGCCAGTATACAAAGTTATAAGAAAGCATTTGGTCTCAACCAGAATGAACTGGTTGTCTGAATCACATCCCAATGATTGATTCTTGGGTCTTCCTGTGACACGTCAGAACCCCAGGTACAAAATAGCACTGACTTTGAGCAACAGAGGCTGCTTGAGTTTGAGAGTGATCAGAATCACACAAATAAAGTAGCATGTCCTAGTAAAATATGAATGCATAAAATGAAAATGAAAATATTTTTAATTCCTCATTGTTGAAAACTGCTAGCATCACAGAATTTTAAAACTGAGCGATCAACGAGTTGGTTATTCTGTGGCCACATGGTGGCGCCACATTGGCTGGAGAGCTGAAATGCCCACTGTCCTTTCCCAAACCTTCAGGAAGGAAGCCTAGGAATAAAATCCAGCTATTCCTTGTCTCCAAAAGACATGTCCGTATCTAGCAGCTGTTGCAGAGTCTGAGTGACAGGCCACCTCTGCTCTGTAAAGACCAAGGGGTAGAATTCTATTTTTGCTTTGTAAGGCGCCTCGTGTCCCTACAAAGGGGCCCTATGGACCTGAGAGACAATTGCCTTTCAGAGCAATAGAAATGTTCCGTGTCCCTGGAATTTTTGTGATATGAGGCCTTTGTTCTCATCTCACCCCCAGAATATACCCAGTGGTGTGGGAGAAGGAATGGTATTCACTGGAATCAGAGAGAAAGGTGTCTCTTTTCGCAGTGCATTGCCAATGGGGAACTTGAAGGAATAAAATAGGCCTGAGTAAAACAAAATGGCTGCACACTGCAGCTTGGGGGGACAGGGGACCATGGAAACCCACCATGGATGTGAATGTTGTATCCTGTTGTTGAGAGGGCTAAGTGGGTCCATGCAGTGCCCTGCTCCCACTCGTTACCAACTTTTTCTTTTATAGTCAATGTTACAGGGATGCTAGTTACATCATATTCATGTGATGGCTACTGTGCCTGTCTTTGCCAAGTGTGTTGAGTATTTGCATTGTCCTGGACAATATTTAGATATCTGTATCTATGTAGATATATATTTATGTATAATGGGTACATATGTTATTTGCTTGAGCAGGCCCAGTAACGTCTCCATTGGAGTCTTTGTTCTTACTGTGTTTGGCATATCGAATACATCACAGGTAGCTTGCCAGGCTCTGCCGTGCGGGCGAGATACTCTTGGTAGCTTGCCGGGCTGAGATATAAATTAATTTTCAGAATAGGTAAAGGTTCTGGACCTTGATTCTTAAGGCCTCTTTCTATAACATACTTGGTGAGGAAGAGAGAGGGTTGAGACCAAGTTCCTCAGCCTCCTTCGCTGAGCCATACCTTTCTGCAGAAGGAGAGGGCTCTTCCATCCTCTGGCCTCCCTGTCACCTGCTTTAGTACTTTCCCTGTAGTAGCTACATATCTAAGTATGAGATTGCCAGAAATAGAAATTTCATTCCTGAGCAAGAGGAAAATCCCTACAGGGAAAGAAGGATTTGGGATGGAGTCTATGCAACCTATAATAGGGGTTCTGAGGCTGTACCTAGGAGAATTTAGTCTTTTGTGCTTAAAGTGGTCTGGAAAAGGAAGCCTCCCATTTTCTTTTGTGATTTTTATGTTATCCACCAGTGTTTGTTTTGCCAGAGATAAGTTGATAATAGTGGACCAGCTGATTCTCTTTTTTTTGTTGTTATTGTTCTGTTTAATATTCTAGAATTTATAGGGCATGTTTTTACCTTTTGCTATTACTATAAGAAGGATTGCAGGGAATATCCTTGCTAAGCTATTTAAAAGTATTGGAGAGTGTGCCTAGAGTGTAGATCCCCGGAAGTTGAATAACTGGGTCTTAGGGTAAATGTGACCTCTACACCAGACCTCCCAGTGATGGCAGTTCTCTTAGGTTTGGCACATCTGTTCACTGGAGAGATGTTGCCAGTTGACACTCCCCCAAGTGCTGCGTGGGAATACTGTGTCTCCACATCTTCCACTTGAGCAGGTTTGGATCAGATGTTTTATCTGGGAAGCTTAGGGTGTATTTCACTGCTCTTTTACTTTGAATTTCCCCTGGAGATTTAAAGGAATACTTTGGGTTTCTGTTTTTCTTTTCTGTAAACTGTAATTTTTACTGGATAAAACTTATTATTTTTTTTTTTGCTTTTTGCGGTCACACCTGGTGATGCACAGTGGTCACTCCTGGCTCTGCACTCAGGAATCACCCCTGGCGGTGCTCAGGGGACCATGTAGGATGCTGGGAATCGAGCCTGGGTCGGCCGTGTGCAAGCCAACTGCCCTACCCGCTGTGCTATCGCTCCAGTCCCTACTGGATAAACCTTTTATAGGCCAGAGAGATAGTACAGTGGGTAGGGTGTTTGCCTTGCCCTACCTGGGTTTGAGCCCTGGCACCACATATGGTCCATTGTCAACACAAGGCGTGATTCCTGAACACAGAGCCAGGAATAACCCCTGAGCATAGGTGGGTATTGCACCCTCCCCCAAAAGAACAAATAAAAACCCAAAGCAAGACATTTTAAAAATGCTCCTAAATAGATTATGTTATGTTATATATAAATATATATGTTATATATAGATATGTATATATATGCATACATCTAAATCTATGTACATATATCTATGTGTGAGGCAGGGAACTGTCTTCTATATTGAAGATCACTTACCTCATTGCCATGGAAAGGATAGTTAGCTATTTTTTTATTGCCATTTTAGTTTTATGCCAATATCAATACATTCTTGAAGAGAGGGGCTTAATTCTGCTTAAAACTCTTGTCTGTTCTTTATATCTGTGATTCCTAAGCTAATACTGTTTAATCATTTAGGTTTCATATCAACCTTCTCTTCCTTGACATTCTCTCCAAAATTGTCTTGAATATTTTTGACCTTTTACAA